TTAACCACTTAAGCTTAATCTTTTCTTTTTTTTTTTTTTTTGTTTATTAGCAACTAAGGATTTGATACAGGAGGAATTTTCTTCATTAATCAAATGATGTCTGATGTTAAAAATTAACTTTGCGAAATTAAAAAGTTGTAATTTTACATTCTCCATGTTTCAATCGTCAGATAAAATTTTTCATGTTGTTTCCTGCTTTCATTCTGAATTATGAATGTGTTTTATTTGGTTTATTATTCCAGTCTCATTGCTTTATTAAAGCTTCACAGTTTATTTAACGTTGTAACTTTCCACAGTATCAGCTCTAAAGTTCACAGCCTTGAACAAAAACCTTATCAGCCTCTTCTGGCAGCGGATCCATCCAGGTGCAGGCCGACGTCTCGACCATGAGAACAAAAACGTTTTATCTAAAATCCAAACTGATTTCAAAACACAAAGTTTCAAACTTCACCAGTTTCTGACAGAAAAACGCCAAAGCTCTGAACGTCAGCAGTTTTAAATCGACTCACAGGAACAGGTGTTGAAATAATGCTTGTATGTTCTGATGTCAGTATCAACTCTAAGAGACATGAAGCAAAGAAACATGTTTAATTACAGACATGTTGGAATATCTGGATGATTTAATGAGAAACAAACAGTTTATGTTTCAGACACGCAGCAGCCATGTTGGATTTTGAATGAGAGCTTAGTGAGAAACCGCCATGTTTTCTCTGTAATTTCTGACATAAAATTGACCTTTTGGGGTTTTTTCCTACTTGGAAATGTAACTATGACTCCTAAAGGAAAATAAAATCATTGAACTAAACCCTTTAAGATGCTCCTGTCTGTTTCTATAAAAACATAATAGCTAAAAGTTTTTCTTTGTACTGATGGTTCAAAGAGTTTATGAGTGCTCTACTGGACTCTGAATTTCATCTGCCTCCTTTCTTTTCTTTTTCAGTCTCATTTTAAATGGGACCTATAATTAAAAAATATCACATTTTGCATGTTTTTATGATTCCATTGAGGCTCTACTGCCTCTGAAACAGCCCAGCTCTTCTTTAGCAATAAGTTAATGTTTCTTAGTGTCTGGAAAATGAGCCCTTTCAAAACTCTCCAGATTATTAGGTCACATTCAGTAGGCACTGCAGCGTTACTTAGCAACCCCAGCTGAACCCAGCCCGTTACCAAGCAACACAAGTGGCAAAACAGCACATTTGGTCAGCTGGTTCTTCTGCTGTCTGCGCTGCACAATGGCTGCTGGACAAACAAGTGTTTTGTTGTTGATTTGCCATCCAGATACCACTTGCTGCATTCTTGCTGGTTGTGCAGGAGGCTCCACCTCTGCTTTTCAAAGATGTACATTTGTGTAATAGAGCATCTATTTGGGGCCATTTTTACATCATGATTGTAAAGGTTAAGATGGATTTAAGAGACAGACGCCCTGAAACAGCTCATTCTGAAAGCAGAACCAAACTAAACTCTAATTATCTTAGAATGAGTTGTGCATTTCTTGGCCACAAACTTGCCTTAAACTGTTAAAGGAAGTATAATAGATCACCTTTAAAGGTCTTAAACTGCACCTCCTGACTATGTCAGCAATGTAGACATGCAGCTTTTAAGGTGTGTCAGAGATTAACATGATGAAGGACTTCAGACTGTGAATCAGCCAGTCTGCATTAGGAAAGATGTTTAAATGCAGCTGAGTGTTCGAGGGAAGCCAGTGTTTGAATGTTTTCGTACCGTAAACCTTTAACTGGATGTAAGTCTCCTTGATTCCGCTGATGGTGCTGGTGTAGCACTGATATCTGCCTTCGTCCTGAACGTTCACGTCGCTCAGCCGCAGCGAGGCGTTGCCCCTAGAGAACTGCTCAGGGTACAGCGAAGTCCGGCCTTTAAATCGCTGGTCCTGATTTCCCAGCTGATCCTTGTTGTAGTAGTAGGTGTGTACTTGTACTTTGGTGCTACCAGGATTAAGGATCCAATGGATGACAACCTGATCGCCACTTAAAAACGAGCAAGTCAGGATGCAATCGGTTCCAAACTGGCAGGAGACCTCAGTGTCTGAAAGACACGAAGGAGAAAACAGTGGATCTTAAAACATCAACCTTTTTAAGGCTGAGCAACATCAGACAGTCGGATAAATGTAGTTAGTTCACCCAAAGGTTTGACTGAAACATCAATATTTAACTGAAAAGATGCTAAACTAGAGCAGAAGATTCGGTAAAGATTCATTATACATGACATAAAGATGTCATGGCTCGTATTTTCCACAGTAGGCAGAAGACATGCTGCAAAGGTCACCGGGAGTCGAACCCGCGACGTCCGCGTCAAGGACTGGGGCCTCCAAACGTAGGGCGTGCTAACCCACTGCACCACCGCGGCACGCCCCCGGCTGCAGCTTGTGACCTCTGGTTTCGATACATCAATTATGTGTGCTGATACTTGAAATGTTTCCAAATGTACTTTGTTCAGTCTGACTGAACTGCAGTTATTTTGTAAAGAAACATTGTAAGTTTTAATCTCTAACTGTGCAGAACTGGTAGAACAATTCTCCATTGTGATTCTGCAAATGGTATTTAGACATTCAGTGTATTAGAGAAACACTGAGAACCTTTTCACAACCTGTTGTGGTTCCTGCTGTGACATCCAGCTCAGTGCTCTCAGTGCCAAAGTTCAAACTTACAGAATCACAAACCTGAACTTCAAGATGCATCCCTTCTGCAAAAGTTATTGGTTTGTCTCATGGATGTTATTGAACACATTCAGAGTCAATATGCAGGAAAACAAAAGTAAAGATTGACAGACAGACTATTGACGTCAGATTTAAAGGAATTTTTTGTTCATAGATCAGAATGTTACTCATCCAGCTTGACAAGCAAAAACAGAAACTGAACCTCCATCTTTGATACAACAAAACTAGTTTAACATTTTAGTTTTTCTTTAACCTCCTTGTTCCTGGCAGCTGTGATACATTTACAGAGATTAGATGCGTGGATATTTCTGGTCTCACCAGCTTCTGAAGCTATTTTTAAATAACTTTCTGCTTCTCTACAGTTTCATCTGAAGGCTAAACGCATTTTGTCTAAACATCCTTGGGGTGAACAAAAACAGATTTAGTTTTTGTTATTATTGGTTTATTAATAAATAATAACCAATTACTTATTACTTTGCTTTGCCTCCTTTTCAAGGTGAAATCTTTCATAACAACATGAGGATAAAATATAATATTAAGAAATGAAAGCGAGTAAAAGTGACGCTCACCTTTTGATGCAAATGTCCACAATTTTAAAAGCCCAAAAATCAGAAAGAAAGTGAAGGAAAACATGTTGTTTCGTCTCTGTGACCTCGTCTGTCTGAACTAGAGATTAACTGAGCAGGCAGGACTTCAGCATAAACACTCCACTGCTGCTGAACCAGAGTTCACTTTTACTGGTCTGATTCACAATCCTCTAAACTTATTAGTTTCTTTGTCTTTACTTCAGTTGAACGTCACCAGCCCAACTCAAGATTTTGCTGTTTTCTAAGCTGACAGTTGAAGATCTTGTGAATAAATCAGTTGTTTCTATTTATTCTGCATTTTTGTGAAAGTTTTCTGTATGACAACTTTCATCTATAATAGCACAGTTCACCAGCCTGGAGTTCATAAAACAATAATCAACAGAGATTGAAGGGAGGTTAAAGGTCAATATTAAACCAGCAGATTTAGCAGCAAATGACGGACAATGACTGTCAGTCCAAAGAAAAACCATAAAACTGGAAAATCATTAAACCATGAATCTTGACCATATGACTCAAAATGATAAAACCAGGAGTGATAATAATGAAACTCAGGTGATTCTGCATTATGAACTCATTTTACGCCCAGATTTAAAGAATCTGATCATAAAAACCAATGAAGTCACAATAAAACTGATTCTGTTTGTTTTTTAATAGAAACTTATTCATGACACATTCAAAAGGCAGTGAAGTGGGTTTTTATGAACATGTCAGGAGCAGCGGTGCAGAGAAATGTAAAAACAGTAAAAATGAAATTTAAAAAACCAGTGAAAACCTGTGAAAACCAGTAAAAACCAGTGAAAACCAGTGAAAACCAGTAAAAACCAGTGAAAACCAGTAAAAACCAGTGAAAACCAGTGAAAACCAGTAAAAACCAGTGAAAACCAGTGAAAACCAGTAAAAACCAGTGAAAACCAGTGAAAACCAGTAAAAACCAGTAAAAACCAGTGAAAACCAGTAAAAACCAGTAAAAACCAGTGAAAACCAGTAAAAACCAGTGAAAACCAGTGAAAACCAGTGAAAACCAGTAAAAACCAGTGATCTGTCCTCAATATTCATCCAGAGCTCAGAAACTGCTCCTACAGTCAAACATGATAAATCAGGAAACAACTTCTCTTGTTTTCACCTTAGAAAACTATAAAAGTTTAATCTCCATTATTTTCCATTTATTTTCCTGAAAACCAATGCAAACAAAGTGATTTTATTTAATTGTTTTTTCAGGAGATCAGTGCTGAGGGGCATTTCTAACCTCATTTTGCCCCAAAGGCATCAAAATAAAAACACACAAAGGCATTTCTGAGGAAACGTCTTTCAGAGGATCGTTAGTTTAAAACCAGAGCAAACAGGACCTGAGTTTCTGCTGCTGCAGCGCAGTGAGGATGAGGTACAGAGACAAAATGAGAAAACCGCAGCAAATGGATGATCGATAAACTTCAACTCATGACTTTTTAATCAGCAGATGCTCCCTGTGCCTCCTGTCAGCACGGCGGAGGGCCTGTGATGCTGAGGTTTCATCTTTCACTAGAAACTGAACCAAAAGGCTTCATGAGATTTTGTGTTTTTGCGTGTATGATACTGACGACTCATTTTTTCTCCACAGAACCCCAGTTTAAGCTCCAAAACGCCGTTTTTCGCGCTCCTGGTTCGTCAGGACTCCCTGCAGCAACGTTCAGACTCTGGATGCAGAGCAGAGAAAAATAAATCCAGGAAGTTCATTCAAAGATTCTGTGTGATAAAAAAAGCAGCTATTTGGGACTTCATGGTCCAGTTTGAGCGTCTGCAGCTCGTCGTCTTCTGAATCCAGAGAAAAGTGTAAAATAAGGCGAATGTTTCAGTTCAGTGTTCAGTCCGATGAGCCGGTCACTGGGGCGATTCTCCGTCTGAAACAAAACAAACTCATTAAAAAACATCACTTCAGTTTTCAATTGGTTTTTGGGTTTTTTTCCATTTTCAAGAACAACAGTTTCTCAGTTTCTTAAGACACTAAAAATGATAAAAAATTAATTTAGAAGTAACTTTTCAGCAAGTCACTGGAGCAATTTAAGTTAATAATTCATTTTTAAAAATCAAATTAAAGACTAGTTCCTCTGACATATTGTTTAACTTCAGACACCTGCAATAATCTGCCAGTGGAACCAGAACTTATTGATTAAAACAAACTCCTATTTGTTTCTGAAAAGTTATTTATAAGAAACCAAACCAAAAATACTTGATAAGATTTTGTGGTTTTGCAGAAGAAATCTTTATAAAATTCTGATTAAAGCCTTTATTTTAGAACATTAATATATTAATGCATTTTTTTATATAATAAATGTATTTATTACATATTATAAACCAAAATATTTATTCCTGGTTTATATATTTTCATAAAACCTAAATAATTCTGTTTAAATCTGACTTTATCAAAAAACAATGACTGAAAATAATCTATTTATTCATGTTTGCATCAAAATACAATTGTTTTCTAAAATGAATGATGACATGAAAATAAGATTATGTGAATGTAGATTTTATAAAAGTATAAAAATCTACATTTTAATCATAATTTCTCCATAATTCTCCATTAAATATCAGAGAGCAACAGGGACTGATTACAGCAGGTGTCCTCTGGCGCCTCCTGGTGGAGGTTTTTAAATACGCATTCAGTTGTGTTTATGGATACTGACCTTTGACCCTGTTCAGCTCCGTCTCTTCATCAGAATGAGCTCTGGGCTTCTTGTCTCTTCCTGGAAGTCAAGGACACACACACACACACACACACACACACACACACACACACACACGCACACACACACACACACACACATCCAGTTAAATCTGAATAATTGAACTAAAATCAAGTTAGAAATAATGTGAAGAATTTAAAAAACAAACGTTTTATAAAAAAATCCAAAGTTAAAATACAACTGATGAAGAAAATCAAAGTTTAAAAGAAGAAATAAAATAAAATGATCTTCTTTTAATTTTTTTATCTGTATGTTTACATCATTCAGTCGTTTTAATTTCTGTATGAATGAAAGTTTTCAGAGCAGAACTGAATATTTGCAGTGAATTTCTGCAGAAACTGTCGCCGTCGCATTTCCTGCATTTCCAGACAGAAAAGCTGCTTTTACTGAAATTACAGGTCTGCCGAGACCAAAACTGGCTTTTCCTCAGAACTGTGCGAATATTCTGGAGTTTTTCAGTTAATTTGCCGTCTCACCTCTGAGCTTCAGGAAGGCCAGTAATCCCACCAGAACCAGAACCAGGCCAGCAGCCACCACACCCAGGATCCACCAGTAGGACGGCTTCTCCACCGCGGCGCGCTGCCTGCTGCTACGCAACAGAAGCAGCAACGCTCAGAAACACAACGCACAGCCCGGCTGGGACAGAACCGTACAATACATGGTTTTTATTTTCAGCCCATCCAGGATCAGAGCAGACAGTCAGGGAGAAAGCTGCTCAGAAGGTCAGACAGCAGCATCCCAATTAATTAAAACGGAAACAGCTGCAACGGCGCAGCAGGAACGCTGGCCAGAAGAGAGGGAAGATGATGGAGATGAATCCTGGAAAATGTCCACAGAATCATTTCTATTCTAAAAAAACCCTCAAAACATACAAATCTACAGCAGGATGCTTTATATTAAAGCATATGGGTGTGATAAAATGGCCTAGTCAAAGTCCAGAGATGAATCCAATATAGAATGTGATGTAAACTGCATCATTTTTGTTTTCAGAAGCTCTTCATCCAATCTGGCAACATGTTCACTAATGGGGGCTAAATACACGAGCAGGCCACACTTTTCAGGTTTTTCTTTCAGCTAAGAGCAACTATTAAGCTCTAAAGAGTTTAATAGTTTTATAGTAAACTTTCAGAGCTGATTCCTGACAGAGAACAAATAATTTAAATAGAAATAGTTTTCTCTCATCTCAACATTCTGAATCAAACTATTTAAATATTTATTCATAAAATGAAACTTTTAGATAATGTTGATGCATTTCTATCCGTGAAAGTTCTACATTTTCTTCATTTCTTTATGAGTGAACAACCTGATCTGCGTATCGCAGTCAGGGTGCGGTGGCCAAGCGGTACGGCGTTGGTCTCGTTAACCAGATCATGGTTCGATCCCCATCCACACCTGGAACAGCAGCTTTAGTTTCTCTGACTGTCAGGTTGGGGTCAGGGTGAGGTCATTACTTAACCATGGGATATGAACAACATTAGCAGTTTATAGTAATAAATGGATCATTGATTCGAGTTTTAATGTGATTTATATTAATGTTGAGAGGGTTTGCCTTATTTTCTCTAATTGTTTAAAACTTTTTTCTGTCCATATTTTTTGCAGCTAACCTGCTGGTACGATAAATTTCAGATTATTGTTAAAAAAAAGAGTTATTTAAAATGTTTAAAAGAATATTTCCATCTGAAATAAACACAAAGTTCCTAACAGTTTGTTCTGGACTCATGTCTTAGTCTGTATCGGACGCAGCGGTTTTACCGTGAGGGCCGCTGATGGTGACGCGGATGCGTTCGACGTGTCGCTGAACTTCTCGGAGCTCGCAGGCGTAGCTGCCGCTGTGCTCCGGATGTCTGGGCTCCATCAGACGCAGAGAGCCGTCTCCGAACTTGGCTTTGTAGACGTCCAGGTCCAGGTGGCCGTCCCAGGACGGCGCAGAGACCTTGCGGTCCGACTGGCTGTCGTAGCTGAGGATGAGGTGGAGTTGTCTCCTCTGGAGAAGGTCCAGTAAAGGGACGGGTTCTTCAGGTACGTGGGAGCCAAGCAGCGAATGGTCAGGTCTCGTCCCTCAGTTCCTGTTATTTCTGTAAGACACAAGGTAATGTTTCAGTCAAAGTATCAGGTCTGCCATTTTCCCCGACCAGGCCGAATACAGAGGCTTCTTGGAACCAAGATCTGATTGGCTGAAAAAAATAATATGATTGTCGACTTAAAGTCTGTCAGAAACAGATCAGAGTTTTCTAGCCTAAAGCTTTAATAAAGCTTTGTGTCATCAGCATAACATCATACCGGCTGTTATGTTTCCTGAAACTTTTAAAAAGAAACAGAAGAAAAGCAGACCGAGGACAGAACCTTGTGGGACACCATAACAAACTGGTGAACGAGGAGAACCTGATTTTAAATGACTAAATAACAGAGTTTAGATAGACTGACTTGTGTTTTGTGTACTTTTCATGTGAACATGGAGCAAATATCTTGTTTATGCTCTGTACCTTTCTCCCGGAGCGACGCGGTCCACGTCGACCGGCTGTAGGAAGTGGACATTTTGCAGATGTAGATGAGGTCGGGTCGGCCCTTCAGCTTCGTCAGCCGGCTGTCCACAGAGAACAAGCCGTTCTCTTTGACATGCTTGCGCGTGACGGGCCGCAGGTCTTCGAAGGTGGGCGGTTCCGTCGCCCAGGTCACGCGCGGAGCCGGAAAACATCCGGCACCGAGCATTTGATCTCCTCGTAGCCGCTGAGCCGGGAATGCTCCAGGAACAGGCCTCGGATCGGAGCTGCAGCACAAACACGGCGGCCATCAGAGCTCAGCTGATAGGCGCTAAAGGTCAGGGCCTGATATAGTCTGATAGTTTGTCATTGTCATCCAGCTAACTTTAGACTCTAAAGTTACTGGAACATTGTTGCTCTGCAGCCCTGAAACCACCGACTGGGGAACAGACTGAATAGACTAAATAGATCCATGATCAGGGCAAAATACACAGTTACTATTTACTCTCTATATAATCTGTTTCTTTACATTTAGGTATTAAGATTTATTATCACTTAAATTGGGTTTGCACTGCAAAAAGTTACTTCTAAGTTATTTTTGTCTTATTTCAGGTGCAGTAAGATATTTGCACTAGAACTTAATAAAACTTGATAATGTTGTGTTTTTGTGGGAAACCTGGATGAGAACTATGAGGTTTTAAACACGATGTTAAGAAATATAAAGTAAATCCTGAGCAGAGAAAATGTCATCAACATCTTAAAAGCATGTTTAATTAAAATTAGACCCAAACAAGCCGCATCCTGGATTCACCCAGCAGAAATATCTTATCATTTCTTCCTGTGGCTGACCTTCGACCTTGACGATGACCTTGGCGGTGTGTTGACCTCCTGAGGTCTGGACCTGGCAGCTGTACAGGCCTCTGTCCTGCGGGGCGCTGCGCCTCAGGGTCAGGGTGGCGTTCCCGTTGGAAATCTGCTGCGCAGAGACGAAGACCCGATCGGCCACCTCCGGCAGCGTGAACGCCTCCTTACTGCCGTTTCTGTCGAACCTGTAGACCAGCGCCCCCTGTCGGAACCACTGCACCATCTCGTTCTGGCCGGGCTGGAAGTAGCAAGGCAGCACGCAGTCCTCCGAGTTAGAGCAGATCACCGCAACATCTGGAACACAACATGGTAAAGATAAGTAACTTCACGTTAAAAGGACAATGCAACACGATTTAATGCGCCGCATTATAAAATCTGATTTACTTCTGCAATCCACTGACATGAGGACAGAAGTCAGGCTGCTTCAGATCTAATGCTGTCTTTGAAGAAAGAATAAAAATCTTCATTTTGGTTTTTAAGTCTTCCGGCCACCAGATGGCAACGTTGGACCACATAAACACTAAACTCTAATCCAGAACCAGCTTTTAATAGAACAAACACAAATTAAATTCAGTTCAAATAGTCAATGTTAACGACCAAAACGAGAAACAAATTATAAGAAGAAGACATTAATTCTGAAGATGTAAAAATAAAATTAAAAAAAATCTCAAAATCTTTAAATGGTCCTTAAATTAATTATATTCAGGATTTCTGAAATATGGAGTTTTTACACCAGGAAGAACTGATACATTGATATTTAGTTTAAAAATATACTTTTTGTTACTATTATATGTTAAAAGGGCTTGCCATAAGTAAACATTTACTCAACCCAGTGATGGAAACGTTTTAAAAATATCACTCCGCCTCTCATGATTTGTTGTGATTTTGATCTCTTTTCTCATAATTATTTTGTGTTAATTATTGTCAGTAATGTCTTGCCATATAAAGACTGGTTTGTGTTGTTATTTGTAGGTTTTTTATGAAGATTTCCCCTGATGTGTCGTTTTTATTGCTGTGGGTTACCCAGAATGCCCCTGGGCACGTGGCCTTTTCCTCCAGGATGAGATCACTCAGAAAAACTTTGCTCTGAAATAAGTGGACCGGGCCGAGCCGGCGGAGCTCTGCGTACCACAGCAGAGCCACCGGAGCCGCTTTCTGTCCGGTCAAATATTCCCGGCTTGAGAAGCTCTGCTTCACGTCGGGATGACAAATCAATCATCCAACCGTGACGCTGCCTCCTGGCTGCTGCAGCTGCATATTAATCCTTCTGAGGTGAGATTACAGGCAACAGAGAGCAGAAATCACTCCACATACGTTCCTTCTTCCCAAAGTGCCAGGTTTTCCTCCAAACCTTAATCCGCTTTAATCAAACTTCAGCCCATTTATCTGGAAAGTCCAGTTCATGTGGGGAGATGTGAATGCTAATCAAACTAATAAAACAAACTCTGGTGCAGTTCGAATGTATATGTGAACGCCAAGCGGACCAGAGTCTGCTCCAGAAGCAGGAAGTGGACTATAGCACAGGGCATTCTGGGTAAATACAACCAAAACAAATGAGCTAGCCTCATGCTAACAGGAGAAATGGCTCGTTGTCTTTTACCAAAGACTAAAGAGAAATCCTCAGCCTCTAAATCTGATGCCACGTTTATGTTTGTGTCAGAAGAAGGAAGTTGCTTTCAGTGTCTTCAGAGGTTTTTATGTCGTTTCCTTCAGTGGTTGTTAATGCAGCGCCCCCCAGGCCCGGAGGGGAACAGGCTGGTCTGACTCAGAGCAGAGAGGAAGAGAACCTGGAAACAAATGATCCAGTTCTGGCCTCCAATGGAACCGGGTCTCCAGAACTATCAGGTCTGAAAACAACCGAAATGTTTCTTAAGTCTCTGAATGTTTACAGACAGATAAAGATGGTGATTTAGAGCCATCACAGCTATAAACAGTATTTATGACCTATGGATCAACAGCTCTTCATATGTGATCATAAACTCAGCTGATGATCTAGTTTTGGATTTTGTGGCTCTATATTTTCAGTATTTATAATAAATAGATCTAGAAGGATTTGGTTTCATAATGACCAAAAAAAGGAGAACTAATGGTGCCAACACTGACATGATTGCCCAATAGTTGATGAGGAAGCAGAAACCATCCATGGATCTGAAATCCTTCAGGAGGGATTTCCAGGAATCAGGAAGTTCTGCCTTCTGGAAACCAGTCCAACCTTCGTCTACCTGGAAACGGTTGGAATG